TGGTCCCCAATTTTCTCACTTTCATTTAACTTCATTACTTTTTAGGAGAACTTAAATCTGACATAGATTCTTTTTGGGGAAAATTGTGTCTAGGCCCCAAAAAAAATAAAGACGATGTGACCCAGCCCCCCGTATTATTTTTTGTGTGTTAAAGCCCCAAATACATGAAGCAATTATTTTCAACCCCTATTTATATTTTCAAGGCAGCTCAAATAGAAAACTTTTTCCTAAACCCAAAACTACCCCCTCTCTCTCTCACTCTCTTCTCTCTTCACCCTCTACACCTGCATCCTCAACTCTCTGTCAAGAACCAACAACAACGGCAACCTCGACGGTGAGATTGATAGGTTCTTGAAGGGGGTTTTGGGGGAGTTGAGGGGAAAGAACCGACCCAGCCCCCTTCTCGAGATTGATAGGTTCTTGAAGGGGGTTTTGGGGGAGTTGAGGGGAAAGAACCGACCCAGCCCCCTTCTCCCTCTTCTATTCCTCACTTCAGACCAAACCCAAAACCCTTCAGCATCCTCAAGCTCAGACTTAGGGTTTCTTGCTCTTCCCATCCCCAAAACAACATCGTCGAAAGAACCGACTCCGATGTCAGAACCGAGCAAGAACCGAGCTCAATCTCGTCGGATTCCCAAAGCATCTAGAAGCAGATGAAGGAGATCGCTCTCTTCGCGGGGCCCGCCACTGGTCTGTGAATTTATGGGCCCCTCATGAGATGAGCCTGATCGACACCATGGTCATCGGCCAGGGTAGCTCTTTGGAGCTCGCTGCATTGGGTAATTTCATTTAAGGGAAGAAAAAATTACTTTTTTTTTTCCTTTTTTGGGTTATTGATTTTGTTTTGTTTTGTTTTGTTTGAAGGTCCGGGGACGATGTTTTGTGATAATTTGGGCTATATATTCATGTTCTTGTTTATAGCTACTTCCAACATGGTTGCTACTTCACTTGCTAGAAAAGGTCAGTTGTGAAAATTTGAACTTATTGGGTATGAATAAGGATAAAGTGGATAGCTTTTTGTTTAGTCAGAATAGGCGAATATATAATGCTGGAAGTTTTGGTGTCTCTGTTCTTGGGGACATTGTGAATTTAAAGACTACATATGTGGAACATAAACTTCATAATATAATGTAATCATAGGATCACTTTTTGTCTATTCCTGGGTTGGTAGTTGCACCACATTATCATCACATATTCATGATTATGCCAACTCATCTTCTAACTGAGCTTATCGCCACATGATAGTCCTTAATTCATCACATATTCATGATTATGCCAACTCATCTTCTAACTGAGCTTATCGCCACATGATAGTCCTTAATCTTGCAAAACTTACAAATAATATTTGAATGAGTTAGATGTGTGAATGATCATTAAACATTAGTGCGTGTAATCCCTGACATTCAAAGGGTTTACAGATGCTTCACTCTTTATCGTCTTGAGAGTTTAACTGTGCCAATTTGCTATAACATCAACAACAAAAGCCATATCCTTGACCTTTATATTTGGCTGCATGAACCCCTCAGCTTTGTTAAGCATCATCCCTTTTATAGGATTTATCTTAATTGCTTATATAATGTCTTGCACAGATGTCCACATTTTAACCATGCTAACTTGTGTCTTAACACACTACATCTACAACATACACACAAGCCTGTAAACTCTTAACTTCTTGTAATTGCTTGACTGTTGGATATGCAAAATCTTAGTTATGTTTCCTATTTACTGACTGTTGGGATCTCTGACTGACCTGCTTAATAAGATACATGCTGGTTTACAGATATTTTTATCTCAACAAATGCATGGAATCTTTGCCTTGATTTTATGTCTATAGACATGGTATTTACACAAAGCAGCTGCATTTTAGAAATCTATATTTGGCAAAAATATTATTTCAAGTGTGTCCTGGTTATTTCATGTAACTTTGCACTTAACATCTCTAATACGGATTCAAGATAAAAATTTGGCACATGATTAGATATCAATGTTGTTGTTTGTTGCATTTGCTTATGGCGCAACATCTCTAATATGAATGTTTCTATTTACAAAGTTATTGGGTGTACGAGTACTAACTGGTTATTTCATGTAACTTTGCACTTTCCTCCTAGTCTGTTAACTTTTCATACTGAATGTTAACTTTCGCTGCTTTATGTTAACTTTCATCCAAACCTGTTAACTTTTCATATTGAATGTTAACTTTCGCTACTTTATGTTAACTTTTATCCAAACCTGTTAACTTTCACTGCTTTGTTTTCGTAGAAGCATTTGAAAGAAGCTATGACCAAGTCTTTTATTTCATCCCAGATTATGAGAAGCAAAGTGTGTCAAGAGATGAAATCGAGATATTGCCACAAATTACTACTAAAAGGATGGGAAGAAATAGAACTAGACGTATAAACAATAGAATAATTTACAAAAGTCCACTGAAATGTTCTTGATGCAAAGTTCAAGGTCACAATTAAGCCAATATTCACTCTCCGCATGGGCTTCTGCACTCTCATCGTCATCATGGGGTGATTGTCGATATACTGTTTATATGTCAAAAATCGTTGGTGTAGTATGTTAAAAGCTTTGTTGCTCATTCCTTGGGATGTTTCTGATTAGCATTGTGAATCTGAATGGTTGTTGGTTTTCAAATATAAGTAGCAACTGATGTTGATCTGTGGTCTTATTAATTTTTGGTGCTTGTAACGTGTCATGTTTCATTGTTCAGTTGATTATACTATGTGTTCTTGTGGTTTGGTTGTACTTAGATCATAATTTAATGAAATGTATTGTGTCTATTTAATGATCAATTTTTGTGTAATTTATTGCGATTGCATGTGAAATGTATTGTGGATGTCATGTGAATATGTACAAGTTCATTCAAATAGAACTTGATGTGCATAATAAACTAAAAATTATATATAAATTATGTGTATCAAAACCTAAACATGTTTCCTATGTTAACTTTAACTGTTACATGTTAACTTTCATCCTAATATGTTAACTCTCCTCGTAACATGTTAACTTTCAGCTAAACATGTTAACTTTCAGCTGAACATGTTAACTTTCATCATAGTATGTTAACTTTCACTGTTACATGTTAACTTTCATAATAATATGTTAACTTTCTTCATAACAAGTTTTTTCTTTCATAATAATATGTTAACTTTCTTCATAACAAGTTTTTTTGAACTAAAATTTGATGTGTTTGAAAGGCTGAAAGTCCCTCAAGATGATTTGTCATTGATATATAAATCTGAGAGGCACCCAAATCTGAGTATTTCTATTGATAGTGAAGATGATTTGAAGTGCACGGTAGAGCATAATCAAAATAGTGGTTGTATGGAGATTCATATGCAAGCTGTTGTTAATATAGAGAGTTCTATTTTTAAAAATTTAGAAAATTCTAACTGAAATGTTAACATGTTAAAAATTAGAAAGTTCTAATATTGTAGGTCTAATCATTTTGTGTATTCAAGCAATATCAGCTGTAAGAATGTAACAATTTTATGAAGAAAGTTAACATATTATGGTGAAAGTTAACATGTAACAGTGAATGTTAACATATTATGGTAAAAGTTAACATGTTCAGCTGATAGTTAACATGTTATAAAGAAAATTAACATATTATTATGAAAGTTAACATACAGAGGGCCCTCTCTGTATTTTTATTTTTATTTTTGAAATATGCTTCAGTGTACGAAATGTAATTAAAACTAAAATTTAAGTCAAAGTTAAAACATCATACCAAAATAGAGACAAACATATGCCTTATTGTGCCAACAGACGTGTATTAGAATCGACGTATTGAAACTTCAAGCCCACAGTTATGTGTCATTCTCCCACTCGGTTTTGAGTACAACCACAAAAAAATAGCTAACAAATCATAAGTTCTCACAAGTTAAGACATGTTTTCTTATACAAATATCTTACAAAAACCACTCCAATCTCCATGCAAATCTACAAAATTTAGTATACATGCATTCTTTTGAAAGAAGTTGAGCTTGACCTTCGCAGCTGATGCTTTGGTTCTGGTGGCAGCGCAGAATGTAATATCGTGTCCAACTCCTAAAAAAAAAAACAAATGAAAAACCGAGTTACTTTGTATTTGATGCTTATTACATAGAACCCCCTCCTCCACCACTTCAAAAAAAAAAAAAAGAAATCCACCTACACCTATGTACCAGTTTGACACCTGACGGTGCCTAGAGCTTTCGATAACATTGGTTGTAATTGAAATCTGAGCTAACACATCATAAATCACGATTGACTAATACTGTGAAACGAACCATATGCAACACAAACCGTGGACTTCTTAAAATTTGAATTTGATGCTTATTACACAGAATCGAAATAGTTATACAAAGAAAGCATGGTTTGCAAATATAACAAACTCAAAAAGATAACCCCACTGAAGAAAAGCTAAAAAAGAAACTCATTTGGGCATTTCATCAAACACCTACAACACCTATCTCCTCTTCCCCCTCCTCAACCTCCCCCACTGCCCATGGACCTCCCACTCCTCATAATCCCTCTCGACCATCTTCGTCCCCTCCTCATCCCCTAACATCCTCAACCCCCTAACCAAAAACCCAAACAAGTACTCGTTCGGCATGCACCCACCTCAAATCAATCGACTAGTAAATATAACAAACTCAAACAGATAACCCCACTGAAGAAAACCTAAAAAAGAAACTCACTTGGGCATTTCATCAAACACCTACAACCCCCATCTCCTCCTCCCCTCCTCAACCTCCCTTTCCCATGGACATCCCACTCCTCATAATCCCTCTCAACCACCTTTGCCCCTCCTCGTCCCCCAACCTCCTCAACCCCCTAACCAAAAATCCAAACAAGTACTCGTTCGGCATGCACCCATCTCTCTTCATCAACCCATAAAACTCCTTCACTTCCCTTTCCCTTCCCTCCCCCACCAGCGCCTTCAGTAACCTCGTGGGCCCCCTCAAATCCTCCCCCTTCTTTCCCTTCCCTCCCCCACCAGCGCCTTCAGTAACCTCGTGGGCCCCCTCAAATCCTCCCCCTTCACCCATCCCATTCCCCTCAACTCCCCTAAACCCCCCTTCAAGAATCTGTCAATCTCGCCGTCGAGGTTGCTGTTGTTGTTGGTTCTTGACAGAGAGTTGAGGATGTCGGTGTAGAGGGAGAAGAGAGAAGAGAGAAGAGATCGGCGATCATTTGTGGCTGCTTGTAGCCGGTTTCCAGTGAGAGACGAGGGCATTTACGGGAGTTTTGCCAAAATACGCACAACGTATGTATAAATGAGGGCTAAAGGGGCTGGACCACACAACAAACATATTTTTTGGGGATGAAGCCCAAGGGGAATAATTGGTGGGGCTGGGCCACTTCAAAGTCTCCATTTTGGGGCCTAGACACAATTTTCCCTTCTTTTTGACATTGCACTTGCATAACCAATTATAATTAAACAAACACCCAAAGTATTAATGCATTTCACTTTCTCACTTTCATCTCTCACATTCATACAAACAAACACCCCTTATGTCATAAACATCTGTTGCTTTTTTGGTTGAGCATCTTAAAGATAGTGCTTAAGGGATAGCACATTTTTTACCATAAATGACCACTTTTGCTTGAATTATATTAGGGAGGTTGAATTATCAAAATTATTTTGAGTGAAAAAGAGTTAACAATAGGTTGATCAAAGGCATCTTTGTCATCAACTAGAAGATTTAGAAATTAAAACACCCATCTCATTCAAATCCTTTGAATTAGATATATAATTACTTGTTGGATAGGGCATATAATCACCACCTAATTCCCTAACCAATCACAGTGTGTTGGAGCACGTGAAGTGGGGGCCCACAAGCTTTGAAGAAGGTCACATGAAAGAGAATTGTTCTCAAGGAATAATCACGTGAAGAGATCAAAACCCACTTGGCCACGAAGTCAGGAAACCACGGACAAAAGAAGGCCCACCCGAAACATTGTTGCAGCTATAAATAGGAATGAGCACTGTTCCTAGGGTTGTGTTCAAGTACGAAAAGGGGAGAAAAAACTGCTGTGTGCAGAGTGCAAAAGCAGAGAAAAGGCGGCTGTGTTGAGAGAGAAAAGTAGAGCCGAATTTAAGAGGGGTTTTTGCATTCTTTTGAGAGAGTTTTTTTTTGTATGAGAGGTTTGAGAGATTATTTGTGGGTTTAGATTTGAGAGATTGTAAACCCTATTTGTATTCTCTTTCCCTAGTAGATCTCCCCCCTCCTTGCCCCGTGGACGTAGGCAGTTTGCCGAACCACGTAAAATTGATTGTTTGAGTTTGTGGCCATTGTAATAGTTTTTAGAATCCCTCGACCCGCAGTCCTAGAGCTGATGAGAGGAAGAGTTAATATCCCACTTTGATGGGATATTAGGCTTCAGATTTTTGTTCTCTTTGAAAAATAAGAATTCTTATTGATCTTTCTCTCTTATTGTGCACCAGAAACTCTGCCAAAATTTTTGCTGCGCACAACAAGTGGTATCAGAACCCAGATTCTAGATCTAGGGTTTGGTTGGAGGAGTAGATCAATTTGGAGGCTCGTCTAGGGCTTCGTTTGGTGATAAAGGTGGGATCTTTTAGTAAAGACTCTATCTTTTCAGTTTTGGATCTATTCTTCGTTCGATTGGTGCGTTGAGAAAGATGTCGGGAAAAGAAGGTGCTTCAGGTGTCGAGGGTGGTGCTTCTGGCACGAAGACCATTCAGAGTTTGAATATCCACTCTATGAAGATAGATTGTCGAGGGTGGTGCTTCTGGCACGAAGACCATTCAGAGTTTGAATATCCACTCTATGAAGATAGATGTCGAGAAGTTTAATGGCACAAATAATTTTGGATTATGAAGATGCGAGGTTTTGGATGCGCTGAACGCGCAGAATTTGGAGGATACTTTGGAGTTAGATGGCAAGCCAGATGAGATTGAAGAAAAAGTTTGGAAGAAGATGAATCGAGCGGTGTGTGGTGTGATTAGATCTTGTTTGACTCAAGATCTAAAATATAATATGATGAATGAGACTTCTGCAAAGAAGATTTGGGAGATTCTCGAAAGCAAGTATTTGACCAAGAGTGTAGAAAATCGCTTGCATTTGAAGAGGAGGCTTTATCGTTTCCAATTGGAGAAGGGAACCTCCATTAGAGATCACATGAACCACTACATGAAGCTTCTTATGGATTTGGCGAACATGGATGTTATAATTGAAGATGAGGACAAGGCATTATTGCTATTGAGTTCCTTACCCGACGAGGAATATGAGACCTTCGTCCTTACTCTTATTAATGGGAAGGCATCCCTTTCGTAGAGTGAGGTCACTGCTGCATTGGTGAATTATCAGCTTCGGAAGAAGGATAAGGAGAATTCGACTGAGTCGGTAGCAGAGGCGTTGGTCGTAAGAGGGAAGAATCCGAACCGAAAGAATTGGAAGTCACAGTCTAGAGTAGGAAAAGATCAGTGTGCTTAGTGCAAGGAGACTTGTCATTGGAAGAAAGACTGCCCAAAGCTCGACGAATGGATGAAGAATAAGCAGAAGGTAAAAGGGAAGCAACCATCATCAGAAGCAAACATCGTATCGGATGGTAATATTTCTGACACTTCTATTTATTCGCTTTCTATCAGTCCTACAGATAGCTATTCGAAGGAATCTGAATGGATGTTGGATAGTGGTGCGACCTATCATGTGTGTCCTAGAAGGGAATGGT